TCTTTTCTTGTTTGTTGTAATGTAGATTTTGTTGCCTAGGAATGGATGGTTGTATCCTTTGAGGCTTGTTTTTGTGTGAAAGAGTTTTTGTGATTTTTTCAAGAAAATTATCAAAAAAAGAAATTTTTTGAAAAAATGGGATCAGCGGAAAACAATACTATTTTATCTATACAAAAAAATTATAATGTATAGATCAAAAATGATTTACTGAACTTTTATATTCTTTCAAATTTATTGATTTATATATAGACAATTTTGATCATATTTAAAAAAAAATTTACAATCAAGCTTTAAAATATGGAACTCTCTACCATAAATAAATTATATATATTAAAATCAGAAACATATACATTAGTTCAATTTTTTGCATGCACAGTGATAGAAGACAATATTTATCTATTTTATTGTCCATATTATGAAATAAAAATTAATAATATTATTATAATAACAAAATATTGAGAAATTATAATAAGGTAAAAAAAAGAAATTCTATATATAACAAAAGAGAAAGTTATTAAATACATTTAGGAGTCAAACCTATAGAACCTCTTGATAAGAGAAACCATTAGTCAAAAAATAATCAGCAAATTTATAATTTCAAGCAAGACAGTAGAGACTATTCAAAGTTTTAATAATACTATCTGATTCATTATTATTAATATATAGATAAATATGTATAATCAGTTATAATTCTGGAAAAGAACAAGGCATCACAAACAAACTCAAGAAAAAAAAAGAAATATAAGAGACTATAATCTATAGAATTTGATATCAATACAACAGTCTGAAATTGCCATAGATATTGTGGAAGGCATTATTCAAAGATTGATAACCATATACAATATCTTTATTATATATACTAATATAATCTAAATACATTAGTATCTCTAAAAGAAAATAACTTTTCGATGACGAGTGAGGCAGTATGTAACAGTCATAACAATTTGTAAATACCTAGCATATATACAATAAAGACACACCATGCTGACCTGACTGTGGGTTAAAAAAAAAAAAAAAACATTAGTATTTCTAAAAAGACAACATATCACAATAGATATAGAATTAGTTGATTTTAATGTTTTGCTAAGCACAAAAACAATCTACAAAATTACTTTGTAAATAAGAGTAAATATAATGCATATAATTAATAAAATAGATAATATTATAGGTACTTAAAAATTATTATAGTTTATATTATTTATAATTTATAAATATAACTTCAATTCAAAAAATTTTGTATATAAGTTTATCAAAATTTTTTATTTTATTGTTAATAAATAATTGTTGAATTTTTAATTAATAGTTTTAATAAAATTTTAATTAATAGTTGATAAATTTTTAATAAATATTTAATGAATTATTAATAAATAGTTTTGATAAATAGTTAATAAATTATTAATGAATTTTTGATAAATTTTTAATAAATTAATGTTGAATTTTTATTAAATTTATAATTAATAATTTTGTAACAAACTTTTATTAAATTACCAATAAATTATAGTATCTGACAAATTGTTAATGAATTTTTTGACAAATTTTTAATAAATTATAAATATACTAATTTTTGTAATACTTATAGTCAAAATATATAGTTGCTGATTTACTGTATTTATATTATTTTTTTGCTGAATTATTTATTTTTTGCTGAATGTTATTTAAGTGACAGTATATTGAATAGTTTTTTTCAACTAGTGTATGGTTATGCCCATAAATCAGATTATTATTTACTTATTGGGAATTTTGCTTCTTGAAGAATTTGATTTATATATCTTGTGATATTATCTATAAAGTATTAACTATTGCACTATAGACTTATAAATTTATATTATATTAAAATATCCTTACTAGAATTAATGCATAAATAACTTTTTGTATTAAATAAGATTATATATATTCAAATAATTATTATTGAATCAATATTAGTAATAAAATATAATAAGTTTTTATTAATTATATTATATAATAATTTTTTTTAATATATTAATAATTAAAAGAATTATAGAGTTTTTATTATTTCTTTTTTAAATAAGATTCAAAATATTGTGATTAAATTTTATGAGATTAATAAAATCGAACATTGTAAATTTTTAAGTAATAAAACTTTAATTTGTTTAAGTTATAAGCTTTTTTTATTATTTATTGGATTTTTAATTACTTTTTTATTTTAATTAAATAATTAAAGATTTAAAAATTGGCAAAGTTAAAATTTATAATAAAAATATAGTAAATGGACTAAACTTTTAAAAGGCAATTGTATTTGAGTTACAATGTTTGAATGCTTTTCTAGCTTTTCTAAAGTAATATTAAAATGATTACTATTATTTATACAGTATATTAATTAGTAATATACTATATAGACGGATTGCAATACCATTCAGTTAAAACTTTGTGGCATTTTATTTAAAAAACTATCCGCCAAGGTTCAAGTGAGCGACGGAAACATTTTTTTAAAGGAAGTCACTTCTGTGTGCGTCCAAACCAATTTTTCTTTCCGACCTCAATGGATTTCCCAAAATGATAGCCTGTTTTCGCTTAACGCCCTAAACAAAAGCCGAAACACTGGCATTCATATTGAAGCCAATAATGAGAATGACGTACTTTGATCTCCCATCGCCACCAAGCGGAAGTTTTGAAAATGCTTTTTTAGGATTAGATCAACGAGCCAACGGAGCTATCGTGACTGTTCTATTAAAGTAGGACGAATTTTATCATAATCAAAAATTGCATATAACATGATTAGGTGATAACTCTCTTTGTACCATGTAATATGGCAGAAAATGTAAACTTCCCGACGCGCATTTACGCGTGCTTCTTGTTAACATCAATTGTGAAACAAATGAGTTACAACTTACATATCTCGATTTGAACCAGGTCAACACTATGTACATATACGCGTACAAAAAGTCTTTAATAAAGGAACTTTTTCTCAGTGCAAATAAATAATGGAATGTACAGTATATTACAAAACGCAGTATCACAGTTTTTTTATATTCAATTTTGAACCTCAATTTTTTTTTGTCTCTTACGGGTCAGTCAACATTACTACTTCCTATACGAAGTCAAATGATTAGTTCATATGAAGAATGGGGGAAAGAAAGGGTAGAATAAAATGGAAGCAGAGTAATGTCGCAAGATACACAATTCAAAACTTTAATTCCAAAAAATAAGCAAACATACAATACCGACGGTGAAAATTATTAACAACACCGCTAATAGCATGAAAAAGAACCAAAATTTCCGTGTAAATTTATTGTTCTCATCCTTCCATGGTAGGCTCCATAGATTATTACATATTTCATTCCCCTTCTCTTCTCCACTGCTACTACTGCCATTGATACCACTGCCACCACTATTATCATCCCCACCGTCATTATTAGACAACAAAGTAAATGATATTTCGACATCCCGCGAGCTTGATTGTTCCGGAGCAACAGCATTCGAAGACGAAGGGAATGTAAATAGGGTTGAAGTTCGTGAATGCCGTGTAGTTTTTGGTAGATCAAATTTGACAGCTCTTCTTGGAAGAAACCCTGTTTCCTGAATGATGTTTGGTTTTTTGTTTCGTCCCTGGGAGACATTGTCCGGAGACCATGCAGAGTCATTGTAGTCGTCAAAATTTTGAAGACTCAGAGCATGATAGGGAGAGCTGTGTATCAATAGGGGTGGTAAAACTGGTGGTCTCGAAGGTACCCTGGATAATTTTTTTTTAGATTCTGACATCTTTACTCTTGGACTGTGCAAACTGTTGAGTATTCGAAGTTTATTGAATTCCGGTAATTTCACAATAAGCGACGATACGTGAATACGTAACGATCAACCAAGTGTCACAGTAATACGTATTGCTTTATCCGTATACCCTGTATGCATTCGTTATGTGAAACGAGAAGTGCATTACTTTTAAAAAAAAAAATCGTCGTGTGGTACATGAACTTCTGATACCAAACAAGGAGAGATTCATGAAACTTCGTGCGTACACATGCATCTACGTACGTACTTTGATATTTTTAAAAAATTCTTACCACAACATTTACCAAAAATGCGGACGCCCATTTACAATATAATAAACGCCTTGTTCTTTCCATTAATTGATTGAGATAGAAATTAACAGTACATCACGCGAATTGTGAAATTATTCTGGAAAATTCCAAGTTTTCCTACTTAAATTAAAACCTCTATTGTAAAATGCTCACTTAGGTCAATGCGCCTATTGTATTATATACAGTAAATAAATATCGGAATATCGGAATATCGGAATTTTAATTTTATTAGCACAATCTTATACAAAAGTACATACATTCATATACAGTATATCTTAACATTTTTTTGCTCAAAATTTAGATCATATCTATATCTGACAATGAAATTTGAAATTCTTTATTCATAAAGTGCATTAATTTACTTTCTATGTTCTTATCTTTATACCTTTATTTGCTTATTTAGAATTACTTATTTCATCACGCACATCACGAATGATACATAAATAAAAATGCGTCGAGGGAGATCTTTCAATCGTAACATTCGAGATTGTTGGATCACAGTACATTTCGCTATCAAGCGATATAATTTAAATCATTTAGACTATCTGTAAGATTCGGAAAATTAGAAAATTGGCTATCGTTGTCGGTAATGAACTCAAAAGGGAATTGATTTATTCCTATTGGATTCAAATAATCGGTTATCATTTTATCTGGTATTATTATGTTGTAATCATGAGTATTTATTATATTGTCTGATATTAATTGATATGGCCATGAAATTTGATTCCACTGCAATGATGAATTATTTTGAATAAATAAATCATCACTCGAATAATTTATTAGTTCCGGGGAAGAATCGTTCGAAATTGATGGAATTTCGGAATTTAGTCGCGTGTCTTGATAGTCGAACGCGTAAGGTTCGTAAAATTCATTCGAAGTCAACGAGATTTCGCCGTTGAAGTCTCTTGTCTCCGGAGAAATAAGATGCTGGTTTGGAATTTGTTCGTCGCTCGAACCAAGAAATTCGGTTGTCGTTTGTGACGGACGAGCATTCAAGGAGGACTCGCTCGGAAAAGAAACGATGTTCCATCTTTTACGCTTTTTCTGACGCTCTATTTTTGGATATATTTTGCTGCGATAATTGTATGCGTCCTTGGCTAGTCTCTTATAGTAGGATCTAACTTCCTCGCTCTCCTCTACCCAAGATCGCGACGCCATTGAGGATACGGTGGTCATTGGGAGATGGTACCCATCAGCTCTCGCTGTCTCTACGAAAATTTTTCGATATATGATGAACGCATTTGGCGCTCGAGGTGGTTTGCTACCGTTCTCCGGTCTTATTATTAAATCTTTGGCTTTAATCTTCGGGGGGAATTCTGGCCTGATCATTGGGCGTTCTTCGCGATCTTTATTTGGTTGAGGAATTGGATCATGTTGCGTTTTCGCTTTTGTTAATATTTTAGCGCTTGAATCAATGAATACACAATCGTTCGATGCAATGTCATTCATGGCGAATAATTGATTTTGCAAAATTTTTTTAATTCAAGAAGGTAGCGATCAAGCACCTTTTATACTTTTTTTCGCTTATCTTTAAAGCTTTGCACATGCAAAATGACGTCTTGATCGGACCACATGGAGTTGAGAGCGTGTCCTGTGATGAACATAGAACTTGATGCTTAATTTATGCACTTTATTAAAATTAATTTCCTTAAAACCATTTTTCGAATCATGGGATTTCGGATAAGTTTCAGTAAATACAGTAAATACGACGGAAAAATCATTTTGCCAATTCCGTAAATGCGCAGTTAGAGTACTTGCTAAATTTCTGCCATTGTTCTGCGACCGTTGCGTATTATATATATATGCTTACGTATGTATGTACGTACACCGGACATGAATGGTGGTGCAATTCTTATTCCGGCATGTCGCTTATATATCGTAATCGATCTTATTGGTCGATGATCATAAACGACCGTAACTTTAAATTAATTAATAATCAAAACTTATAATTTCCCGATTAATAATTAGGCATCAATTGATTAATAATTACTTTATTAATATCATACTGTACAACAATTTAAATAATATGACAAATTTAGATACAAATTTATTATTAAGATAAATAAACAAACCATGATGTATTAATTATATAATATTGAATTATTGTTATTATTAAATATGTTTATTACTTTAATATATATCAAATTAATTTTAAAGATAATAAAATTATTTATTGAATTCTATAAAATATTATATTTATTTTGACCTTAAATTTTTTATTTTTATTTTTATTTTAATATTTGTTATATATATATATATATTAATAAAGTAAAATTTTAATTTATAATTTTTGATTACTTTATATATACATTATATATAACATTTAAATATTATATATTGTGATAAGTATCATTTAATTTTTAAAACTCTTTCCGCTGATTCTTCTTTTTTTTAAAAATTTTCTTTTTTGGTAATTTTCTTGAAAAAAGTGAAACAGTTCAAACACACAAGGAAAACAACATCTCCTTTG